CCGCCATATGTTTTGTCTTTTGTGCATGTGGTGAGTAGAGGCCCTTAGGGCCACTGCACGTATTCCTAAGAAAAGAAAAACGAGAAAAAAGAGAACTAGTGACCCATAACCGTGATGCACAGACCTGAATTCGAATCCAGACTATATATTCTCAGCCCACGCATACGAACTGGAAGTCCAAAGTCTATCTTTGCTCCACGGGGGGTCCTCATTAATTCGGTGTAGGGGCCCTTCGGAAAAGAGACTGGACACAATTAAGACATGCACACCGACACGCACAGACATGTGCCCACAGTTTTGGGGCATGGCGTGGCCCTGACTTTTTTCCCTCTTGCTTTCTGATTTTTAGAAGCGAGGGGCATGTTTGGACACCCCACCCTGTCCATTCGATTTTTTTTTTTTTTTTTTATTTTTTATTTTTTTTGATGCGCCTCATCCCATGCGTGCACGTGCATGCGCGTGCGCTCTGTGCCGGCATTTGCCGCGACCCCGCGCAAGGGACGCACCGCAAGTATGATAATTTATAATTTTTTATCCCTTCCTCAACTGTCTTTACTTTAGCCTTTTTTGGGGGTACCCCTATTATATTATTTGTTTCTTGCAGCAGCGCCCCTTTTACTATGCCTCTCGCGTACAAGGCTGGCCTCGTTGATTGTGGTTAAGTGCCAGCTGCCGACATCCCCGTGTGCCTTAACGACACACTTGCACATTATGCTACCGTAGGAGGCGGAGTAAAGAGGGTGGTATACCCCTGCTCATCTTTCTTCAGCTGTTGAGCTTATATCCTCTGTTCTCTCAATATGATGCTCATTGGTATGCATTTACTAGTAGACTAGTAGTAGTACACAAGGGGAGGGAGGGAGGGAGGGAGGATAGGGGTAAAAGATAGAGTACCATAGAAAAAACGAGGGGCGGGGAAGGGGGAGGAGTAGAGGAGGGAAATGGAGGGGCACATAGCAGACCAGAGGAATGATAGACTTCACAGGGTGCATGCGTGTGTGCGCCCTTGCTGAACGTGCAAGTTCTCGTCTCTTCTCTCTGTCTGCACCTGACGACTTGATTGCAATCAATAAAGTATTGATTGCAGCTAATTAGTTCTTGATTGCAATCAATTATTTATTGCGGCTAATTAGTTTACGCGGTCAGCTAAGTACTAATTAGTTTACGCTGTCGGCTAATTAGTTACACCGTTTCCTGCTCTGACCTGTCATAGTTTTTTTTTTTTTTTTTTTTGGGGGGGGGGATGGGGGGGCTCTGACCTGTCATAGTTTGTGCTTGCAATTTTAAACTTTGAAATGAAAGAAATCCAGTCAGTCGGTTGATTGCAACCAAGTATTGATTACAGCTAATTAGTGACCCAATTTACCCCTTCTTGTTCGGGTATCGTGGGGTACAGGTGATGCCATCGGAGTTGCAGAGAGATGGGTCAGCGGATGGAAAAGTCGCATTCTCACTCGGAATGGTGGGGCCGTCGGCTGCAAAGCCCGGGGCGAGCCAGGCGAGTGCTTCGTCTCATTTACCTGAAGGCAGCGAGTGTCCGAAGCCAAAGCCGAAGCCAAAGCCGAGCATTTTCGCGCAAGATGAGGATGATGAGAAAATGAGCGCAAGTCAAAATAGCCGCGACAAGGACGGAAAAGGCGCCAAAAATGAAGGGTAATGCTCTGATGTTGCTGCATCGTCTGCTCCAACCAACTTCATCTTTCTCTTTCTTTTTTTCTTTCTTTTTTTCTTTCTTTGTTTCTTTCTTTGTTTCTTTCTTTGTTTCTTTCTTTGTTTCTTTTTTTTGTTTCTTGTTTTGTTTTGTTTTTTGTTTGTTTTTTGTTTTGCAAGGAACATGAATGTGGACGAAGCACAGAAATCCAGATTGCAAAATCACACTGAAGTCCAAGTAGTCAAAGCAAGAGCAGATAGCACAATGGAACCRAGTAACCATCCATTTGAGAACGATACAGAAGAATCGTGAGTCAATGTCCAAGCCCAATCGGGCAACACCAACAGCATAACCCAATGTAGCTCTCTCTCTTGAATGGCGCCAGGCGCCCTACCTACTCTACAGCCTATCACTACAACTACAGCATGAAAGCAACCAGACAACTTGACGACCAGCGAGTGATGATGTCAACACCAATGCCGACCTCCCCTCTCCACCAGGTACGTCTCTCTCTTCACCCTCACTCTCCCTTGTTATCCCACACAGCGCCCTTC